CACGTTTTATGCTGATAGTGGAATCATGAAGATTGGCCAGGAGTATATTTCATTGGCTGCACATCTGTCAAATCAAGCATGGAAGGAGGTGCAGGAATTATCACTATCATTACCAGCTCTAATGAAAGTAACAAAGCATTCGAAGTTGAAAGCCTGGCCAGGGAGGTGGAAGGTATCAGAACCAACTGCTGATTGCATTGGTTTGTATTTCTTCTCAGATAATATGAGGTGTGTGACCTACCGTCCAACCTATGGACAGCTGCTTGTTTTGTATTTTCAGGTACATGGTTTAAAATGTACTTGTTGCTTTTGTAGGGAACTGGATCAACTAGTGCATTATCTCACTGATCATGGCTTAGTACTAAAATATGTCGTTGGCTTTGCCAAGCTGCTGATCTTCCCTTCTGTTTTCCTACCAGAGCAATGTCAAAGTAAGTACCATATTGCCGATTTTACAATGTTTACAAATATCATGGATACGATATGGCATTGCTCCTGTTTTAAATTTGCAACCATGAACTTTGATGACAATGTGCACTAAAAGTAAGTACATGGTTTAGTTCTTGTAGTTTAAGAGTTCAGACAGCTTAGCTTTACTTTGTTCTATGGCCAATATTTTCAGTTTACTTTTTTCGAGAAAAAAATATTTTCAGTTTACTTATCAAACCCTGTCTTTTGTAGGGTTCCAAGGGAAACACTATCTGTGGGGAGTGTTCAAGCGCAGGATGGGTACTGGGAAAACAGGTGCCGCAGGGTAACAAAAGGTTTGTACATCACATGGGTGCAAACTGACACCCTGGTCCAAGAAATTGCCTGTTTTGAAGTGTGTCCCAACATCAAAAGAGATAACAGCTGCCAAGCGCTGTTCATGGCTTTTGCAGTGAGACCGACCCCTGTGATCATAGGAAGCCCTGCGCAAATTCAGAAATCTGCCGCACCCAAGCTGTTGGGCCTTGTCATCGTGCAGATGGCAAGGTCAGACCGTCGGAGCACTTCATTTAAGCGAAGGAAAATGAAGGTGCATTCGTGGTTTCTCTGAACTTGTGAAAGTGTTAGCCAAGGCCCGTCCTGTAAAGTTCACGGCCTGAAGCAATTATGTACTCCCTCCGTTTCAAATTATAAGACGTTTTGGATTTTCTAGATTCATAACTTTTGCTATGCACCTAGATATATATTATATCTAGATATATAGTAAAAGTTATGAATTTAAAAATACCAAAACGTCTTATAATCTGGGACAGAGGATCAGAACTAACCAGCGACAAGCACGCTCCAGCTTCTGACTCATAGCTGTAACCTTTTTGTTGATGTTCAAGACTGAGAGCTAGATTGTCTTTTAACTACTGTTGTGTTTTAACACTGAAGACGTTCCTGTGCCTGCAACCCTAGCCTAAGATGTATCATGCTGCATCAAGTGGTGCTGCTACTCTGCTATGAAAGGCCTAGCCAAAATTATGTTTCTGTGTGCTGTACTGCTGTTTGCGTTGTGTTTTTAAGCTCTACTACATGCATCTTACCTGCTCTAATAGATTTTCTGCTCCAGAGATACAGTTGTATAAAATCTAACTGCTTTCTGCAATGGTTCCAAACTCCAAAATTTTTATAAACTGACCTGAAGTACGAATTGTCGTCCATTCGCTTATTCAAGAAAGCCACATATATGTATGGACACTCCATACATTTTGAGTACTCTAGTTACTAAATAAGACAATACTTGTCGCGTCCAATGCAATCCAACCATTCCTCTGCCTCCAAGGAGCAGGGACAGGAGTTGCTTTCTCGAGTTACACGTTCCTGATGTTTCTAAAGTATGAGCCGTATCTGTCAAAGATCTAAGATTAAAGGCCTGTTCACTTGAGCTTATTTAGAATTACTTTTCAGGCATGGAACAATATTTTTCTCTCACAACATTTTAGTATAAGCATCAGCATAAGCCAAATTTTAGCATCAGCGAACAGAAACTGGAAAGGTGCACGCGCCCTTGTGCAAAATGGGTGCAAAGCCGGAATGGATGAGATCCTGACCGAACTGCGCCCTTGTGCAAAATGGGTGCAGAGTCGGAGTGGATGGGATCCTGATCGATCTCTGGTCAATAGCCCAACTGTCACATTGGCATGATCCAGCACCCAAAGCAGGAGGAGCAGGGAAATCAAAAGTGTGATAAGAGTGACACTGCTGTAGTGCTGACATGTCCGACTGTCCTGGACTCTTGGTCAGAGAAGAGGACATTCATTCATGTTGCTTTCTCGATTTACACGTGAATGATACGAAACCGATCGATTTGATTCGTTCACTAGTGCGATATGTAACATCCATCTGATGATCCATTGGTCCGATTAAGCCAAGAAAGAAATACCTACCGAGCGTGACATCTTTAAGATCAATTTCCATGGTACGTATGGTTAGCTGAGGTGACACTGACACAGATGGGCCACCGGTTACCATATCTAGCTTGCCACTTACCAGGCACGGAAAAGCGAAGAATGGACGGATTTTGTCATAGTTAACTAAGCACGTGGTTCTCAGTACGTTGATCGATTTGTGTCACACCTGCTGCTGCCAGAAGTGTAGGCGAAATAAAAAAGATCGGTAAGGATGAGCCCTCTCTTATTTCCACTTTTACAATTTACGCCATATTCACTTATCTTACGAGCCGTACTATTTTAACAAACGAACAATGTTTTTCTCTCACAACAAATCAGCGAACAGTACTTTTAGCCATGGCTTTTCAGCAAAACGAACATGGCCTTAGTACGAAAACAATACATTAATTTTTATCTATAATTATAATCAACACATTGGAGCGAAAGGGCCTAAAGCCTAATAGATTACAAGAGACTTAATAGCACCTCAGGTTTTGGGTTTGACTCCTAGTAAGAGAGAATATTTTAGGATTTAACAACGTGTGCTTTCAGTGGTAGGTGGTGTTTTGATTGACTAATGAAATAATTCTAGATCTAGATCTAATCATGGATCCAAACTATCACTATTAAAAAAACTAAATAACAGCCGTAAAAATTAAGACATAGCCACTACACAAGGTCAGGATCTTATTCCCCAACTAAATTCAACATAAGACCTTCAAAGGTTTTATCCAATTTCATTTATAGTTGCCTCAAGCATGCAAGAGTGAGAAAAGGAGAACTTAATCAATCAAGTAATCTAACGCTAAACCTTCAAAAAGGTATTATAAATGGCGTGTACTTACCTTCTATAGTCTCATCCTTCAAACAAATAAGAGCAAAACTGGCCCCATAAATTTGCAATTTTTGAAAAGTTGTTGAAGCTCCCCTTGCTTTCTCCTGAGGCTACAATTCTATCCTGAGGAAAAAAGAGGTTAGACTCGCCTATGAAAAAAGTACTTTAGAGGCGGCCGGCTCGCATCTGAAAATGTATTTCCAGTAGCAGCTGATTTGGTTGGAGCTAATGGTGGGCTCTATAAAGACGGTTGGTAATCGACCACCCCAACCAACAAAATAGGCACCTCTACAAATTGAAATTGAAAGACTAGGAATGGGAAAGAAAATGGGATTCACGGGCTAACAAAAACGGCGCTTCTAGCGTCCGGACATCCAGCCGGACACCCGCGGCCGGACGTAGCCGTTCGAGCGTATCCACCGCGCTCTGTCCTGTCCCCGCGTAACAGCAATAAGAGCACGCCTGCCGCAACCGCGTCACCTGTGCATCCCGTCCCAGCTGCGCCCGTGCCCGTACCACCCCGCGGCGTCCCGTCTCCCCCGCGCACTCAGCCCCCGCATCACACCTACCCCACGCCACGCCACTTACCCCTCCGCGCCGCCATCTCTTGCCCAGCCCGTCCTCCACCGCGCTCCGCTCCCGTCCTAATGTCTCATCTCCTCTGGAACATTGGTCCTACCATTGCAACATTTTCAGTATATGCTTGAAACATATCTATATAGTCAATGCAACATACACAATATTGAGATAGACTTCTGCAACATCCAGATAAAACATCTGTAACATACGTCTGAAACAACAGAAACATTTGAAAGATACACTTGCAACATACGTCTGAAAAAGTTAAAACATTTGGAACATACACTTGAAACATATGTGTATAGTCATTGCAACATATGCAACATCTAGATCAAACACTTACAACATACGTCTAAAACACATAAAGCACTTAAAACATACGCTTTTTAACATGTGCTTTCAGCACAACATCTACTTCCTACTTGGACGAATTGAGTCTCATCGACGCGGAGCTTGATGCCACGGAGTGGCCCAGGGGGGGGGGAGCCAAAGGGCGGGCGAGTGCAGTGCCCGCGGCGAGCGACGCCCGCGCTGGAGAATGCTGCGGCGGACGAGTGGGGTGCGGTGCCTGCGGCGAGCAGTCCCAACGCTGGAGAAGGCGGGCGACGTGGTAGAGTCGGCCACAGTAGTCGAATGAGCGAGGCAGAATGGGGAATGCATCCAATTCTTTTAGATAGATCGAGAGGACGTGATGGTAGTGGGAGCAGGCCTATTGGGCCAATCCGCAGACCCGGCAAGGAGTGTCCGGACCACAGTATTATTAAAAAAACAAATCAATTCGAACGAAACATGTCGATGATGGCCAGGATCCGAAAACAAAAATTGAGAATACGAACACAGAGAACCAAGAACATGACTTCACATGCCGAAGTAAGAAACACCTGCTGAGTGTGACATCTTAAGCTGATTTTCATGGTACAGTTTATTAGGTGTTGAGATGACACAGATGGGCCCCCAGTTGCCATATCTTGCTCACCAGGTATGGAAAAGCGAAAAGTGGGAAGACTTTGTCATAGTTATAATCCACTTCTTGTCTCAATTCAGGTGGTAGATGTTTTGCACTATGAATAGATATCAAGGCAAAAGTACGGTTCTACGCTACTGTCAAACATAAGCCTATATATAGAGATGTAGCTAGCCTAGTAGCCTACATACACGATCTCCTATATATCCAACATAGCTAAAATAAGCTATATTAACAAAGCAACCGACACCATTACGCCATGGGGTCCATCACGGAGCAACACTTCGCTGATCAGCAGGCCTTGCTCGACGCTCAGCTCGAGCTCTGGCACAGCACGTTTGCCTTCATCAAGTCCATGGCGTTCAAGTCCGCGCTGCAGCTTGGCATCGCCGATGCCATCCATTGCCATGGCGGCACTGCCACCCTAATCCAGATAGCCACCAAGGCCACGCTCCACCCGTCCAAGACACCATATCTGCGCAGGCTCATGCGCGTCCTCACAGTCGCCGGCATCTTCAGCATCGCCAAGAACTCGTCGTCTGACGATGGTGACCACGTCTACGGCCTCACTCCAGCCTCTCGACTTCTCGTCGGCTCGTCACAGAACCTGACTCCAACGCTGGGCCTGATCCTCAACAACATCTTCGTGTCCCCGTTCCTTGATCTTGGCACTTGGTTCGAGCACGAGCTGCCGGCGACAGACCTGCCCCTCTTCGAGTTGTCGAATGGGAAGAACGTGTGGGACATCGTCGGCCACGACCCATCCATGAGCCAGCTCTGGAACGCTGGCATGGTCGCGGACACCCGCTTCCTCATGGACATCGCCATAAGGAGTGCGGCGACGTCTTCATGTTGACCCATAGGATCACCGGCTCAAGTGAGTTGTTCACTCATCGGTCTTGTCGAGCACCCGCTAGTGTTTCTGAGCACTCACTAGCTATACCGACCACGAACAAGCGTTGTCCGACCATACAGTATGGCTAGAGGTAGAGGAAGAAGGGAGAACAGAACATACACACATAATAGTGACACCAGCATTGAACGGAGTCCTGTATAGGAGATGGCAAATCTGAACTCTCTTTACTGAATTATCGTGATAGCATATTTATACAACTCTATCCTTCTAGTCCTAGTACAGCTGCCATGCTGCTACAGGAACTAGATAACATACAGGGTTGACTCTGCGTCGGGCACTGCTTGTGCCTACAGTGCTGCAGGTGAGCTGTGCGGCGCCTGCACCTGCAGCGGCTACACTATCACAGCAGGGGACCTTTTCGGCGCCGCCTTCCCTTGCTGTGTTCACACAAGGTAATAGTAGATTATCTAACAATCTTTCCCTAATCCTACTGCTAACCCTTGTACCCCTCCATACCGATCATCTCCTTCAACTCGATAACGATCTGCCCTCCATCGACACAGTCTCTGAGAAAGTGGAACTTCACGTCGATGTGCTTGCTCCGGTCGTGCAGAACCGGATTCTTCGCTAGGGCGATGGCGGACTGGTTGTTCACCATCAGTGCTGGTGGGTGAGCTTCCTTGCCGGTCAGCTCGCCCAGCAGCCGGCGCAGCCACACAACTTGGCACGCCGCTGTGGCCGCCACTACGTACTCTGCCTCGCACGTAGATAGCATCACCACCTTCTGTTTCAACGACAGCCATGAAATTGGAGCCGACCCGAGAAAGACGAGCACTCCAGAGGTGCTCCGTCGTCCGTCGATGTCTCCCGCCATGTCTGCATCGCTGAAGACAGTGAGCTGCAGCCTACTCCCGCCGGTCTTGGGAAAGATGATCCCCTGATCCATCGTCCCCTTGATGTAGCATAGTAGCCGCTTCACTACAGCCCAGTGATCCTCTCTGGGATCCTCCATGAAGCAACTGACGTAGCCCACGGCGAACGCAATATCTGGCCTCGTGTGGACTAGGTAGCGCTGTCGGATACCACAAGAAGGGATACCCTAAGCAAGATCCAAGAATATTGCTTAAGCCTTCCTAAAACCAAAGCCAAAAGACTACTGCAAGGTCTCGGCAGAATTCTCCGATTCGCCCGAGGCCTTGCGCCGAGGCCTCATGCGAAACGGGCCTAAAACGTCCCGCCGAGGCCCTCTCGCCGAGACCCTCTCGTCAAAGCCTCGCCCCGAAAGGCCTCGAACGGATCTACAATTCTCCGATTCGCTCGAGGCCGGGCTCGGCGGACGTACTCGTAACCTCCGTCCCGACCGAACTCCTCTGGCAAAACGTCACGTCCGGTTTAAATGCACCCAACCACTCCCACAAAGCGTCTACCTTGACGCAGGCATGGCGGGCGCAGAACAAGCCGACAGGATAGGAACCGGGACGCGGCGGGGGGTTACTGCCACTATACTCACCACTGTGCCCCCTCCTGACACTTATACTGCCCTGTGCTACCTAACCCCTGCGCCAAGGACAAAGCGGCATGGAAGGTCGGGTCCATGTCCCTGTAGCCTCGGAAGCAGCAGGAGAGCCCAGCTGCTCGGTCTCTGCCTCGTCCGAGACCCCCCGGCAAGGCCTCGGACGCGCCATTCCTTCTCCGCCTCGGCCGAGGCCGGGCTCGTCCCGCATTCTCATCGCCTCCACCTCAATTGCCCCTCTGGCGGGCTGTCCCATCCGTGTAAGTATCCCTAGTTACGCCTACGTCAGCCACGATTGGCAGGGTATGGCAAAAAGGGTGATGGGACGGCGGTCAAATCACCTTTTTACCATCCCCTATTGGCGGTGTGCGAGACTACGGCTCCCTGCGGATGCCCATTCCGCACTTTTTCACCGGAATCGGGTACGACACAGACCACCGAGACCCCTGCGTCGTACACAGGTCACCTCCGAGGCCTCGGCAAAGAAGGCCTCGGCACGATCAGCTCCAGCACCAGTAAGGCCTCGGCACTCCACCAGGACAAGAGTCCACCAGGCACGGCATGTCACCTATAGTGGAGGCCATACTGACTAGACGTCAACAAGGACCCTTACGACTTCAACAGCCTCGGGCATGGCCTACTTGACGCACCAGTGATCAAGTACCAATTACCATTTCCGACACTGTATTGCTACAGGAATAGGCCACAGTACTGATCTTCCTTTCTCGCTAAGACTCCACGTGTAGCTCTCTCATGTACTCCTGGCTCCCTCCTTGTGGCTATAAAAGGAAGCAGCCAGGGCCGTTTCTAGGGATCAGAAAAAACCACACCAGCCCTCGCGCAAAAATGCACTCACTCAATTCACGCGCGCTCCCACGCTGCCGGAGAGCAACGACTCAAGCAGCCCGCACCACTCCACGCCGAGACCTAGGACTAGCTCCCTCTCTCAGCCAGCTTGTAACCCCCTACCACAAGCACTTCGGTGCAAGGAATACAAGATCGATCTCCTAGACTGGACGTAGGGCGCCGATTGCCTGAACCAGTATAAACCTTGTGTCTCTTTGCATCACCATCCGAGACTAGGGGCACGCAGTTCACATTTACTGGTTGGTTGAGGACCCCCCGGTCCGAAACACCGACAGTTGGCGCGCCAGGTAGGGGACTCTGCGTGTTAGCGTGATCGTCCCAACAAGTTCTGAATGGCTGACCCCATACGCCCACTACGTCTCGGCACGGTGGTCTAGTTTGGGAGCCTAGAGTTCATGTCTCTAGGATGTGAGTACGATATGGTACTCCAAACACCCAGAGCCCCACCGGCCGGCGACGACGTTACGCATCGACAGCACGGGCGCAGGCGGTGCCCGGGCCGACGCTCTCGTCACGCTCGCCAGGCACGACGCGAGCGGGACTACTCTGACGCCACATGAACTCAGGGCTGCGCGCCGCACTCCGCCGACATCCCATGCCCGGCTATTGGTACAGAGTCCCTAGCTGGGGACCTGTCTAGCCTAAGCCTGGGCAGGGGAAAGACGCCGGTAGCGCGCAGCGACGTCCCGTCGTCAAGCTTTGCCCCACCGCTTCCTGAGGAATCGACTCAGGCGGAGCGGAGCCCAGCGGTGGCACCATCCCTGTACCTCTTCAGGCTGAAAAACATCGCCGCCGCCTATGCTTTCGCTTACGCCTCCGCGCACGCGGAGCCCTCAGGACACCACCAACGATTCGCCCTCGACTTCTCCACCACAATATCGACCCACACCCACACTGACTCCTCGGAGGAGGACGAAGCATGGGCCGGAGCGGACTTCTCCGGGCTTGGTGACCCCGAGGCTATGCGCCGCTTCTTGGCCGCAAGCGACTACTGCTTCGGCCACTCCGACTCCGATGACGAAAGCACTTACGATCTCGCTCGAGAGTGTTTCCACGTCGGGCTCGGAATGCTAGGGACAAGTGACGAGGGGGAGAGGGCGGGCAACCGGTCCCCACTCCGCCAAGGGACGGGTGATGCCACACCCCCGCTCGTCGAGTTCCGGGAGGCGCGGAACGTGAACATCGGCCCCGGGGATGCCCGACGCCTAGACCTGGAGCAACTCCATGAGCTCCAGGCAAAAGTCGACCAAGATCGACTCCTGCTGCAGCAGCTCTGAGACACTCTCGAGCAGGAGCAGCAAGGCCACGGTGATGGCGGAGGGGCCCGGCAGAGGGCCCACGACTTGCACCGCCGCATCAACAACGACGAAGCAAGTGAGCAACCCCCAATCTTCAATCGTGCTAGCCAGAACGTCGCGGCGGCGGCGATGCTAGTGCGAACGATGCCCGAGCCCTCTACCATGGAGAGGCGACGGGTCCACGGCGAGCTCCGAGACCTTCTCGAGACCGCCGTAGTACAGCAGGCTGAGAGCTCCGTTTCTCGGTGATGTGAGAACATCTCAAAGCGGCCCTCGGTGCACGATCGCCTCAAGGCCCCCTCAGTCCACGACCGCCTCGGTGACGACGCGCGAGGCGCAAGAGGACCACGGCGTGGTCGGTGAGGCGACGGCGCCACGACAACGATGGGCTCGCCGAGGTTACCACCCACACCGAGGTGGCCGCCACGACAGCCCGGGAGGACCGTAGTCCTTCTCTGGGCCGCCTGGCCCTAGAGTCTTGACAAGGCCATCCCATGGCGCTCCATTCCCTGCCCGGTTCCAACAGCCGGCCAATCTCATAAAGTATAGTGGCGAGACCAACCTGAGCTGTGGTTGGCCGACTACCTTTGGCTTGTCGACTAGGTGGTGCGGGCGATGACCTACTCATCATCCGTAACCTCCCTTTGTTCCTATCGGACTCGGTATGAGCACCGGCTCGAACACCTCCCTCCTCTCAAATTCTGGCCTGGCGTGACTTGGTCAAGGTCTTCGTCGGGAATTTCTAGGGCACGTACGTGCGCCCCGGGAACTCCTGGGACCTCAAGAGTTGTCGCCAGAAGCCGAACGAGTCTCTCCGAGACTTCATCCGGCGCTTTTCCAAGCAGCGCACCGAGTTGCCCAGCGTCGGTGACTCGGAAGTTGTCCAGGCTTTTCTCTCCGGCACCTCCTGCCGAGACCTAGTCCGAGAGTTAGGACGGAACGTACCAACTTCAGCGGCCGTGCTCCTTGACGTTGCCACCAACTTCGCCTCAGGCGAAGAAGCTGTCGGGGCCATCTTCCCCGATGGCGAAGCAAAGGGGAAGCGGAGGGACGAGACCTCTGGGGCCTCGCCCTCCCATTTCCCCAAGAAAAAGAAAAAGGGGCACCAAGGGAAGCAAGAGGCCCTCGAGGCCGAGGTTGTCGCAGCCGCGGATCGCAGGAATCCCCGAGGCCCCGCTAGAAGCCCTGGACTATTCGATGACATGCTCAAGAAGCCGTGCCCTTACCATCAGGGCCCGGTAAAGCACACCCTCGAAGAGTGCACCATGCTCCGATGCTACTACGCCAAGCTCGGACTTC